TCGTTGCCATGGTTACTGAAGATTAATTGTTTATATTGAGTTCTTTGATCTTAAACGGCAATCGTAGTTAATTTGTTGAAAATTCTGTTGTTGAGTTCCAGGTGCCATAATTAATTAATTAATTACATATTATTTTCAGTGAGGTAAGCGAATTAGAGGAAGTCATGGTCTATGTGAGTGACAGGTAAGTACATTGTACAGGTGAAAGTACGAGACCGCAAGATTGCGCTGGGCTGAAGGCCCTTTGCTTATACAGCGTGTGCCAATGGAATTCGATTAATATTAGGCTAGAAGTAAATGTCTTCACGTTACCGTGTAGTGGCGATGTAAGAATATCTACTACACCATACCGTTCCGTTGGTGTCGTAAGAACTGACTGAGAGAAACTGAAACACGAAATGGGCAGCAGCATCATCCTGATAATAACTGAAAATTATAATAACTGCGGTTGCCAACCCGCGTGGCAACTATGGCAAAAATACAAGGTGATCTATGGGGGAGGGAAGGGAGAGCGAGGTGAACTTTTATAGATGAATGGAAAAGTCTTGCCTATTTTTCTCATCAAAGATATTGCGTATTTAAATTATATATACAATAAGTATTATTAAGAAAGTTTTTGTTTGTTGCTACACAAATGTTATGTTCTAAAGCTGTACTAGCTTATTTTGCAATCGTCATCATCATCATGATTACGTATCGCCTGCTAAACGTAGGCCTCATCATAAGGATTGCTACAAAGCGCGGTCCCACGTTCAGCTATCTACTTCTTTCAATTATTATCAGGTCGTCACTCCATACCGGATCGCCCTATACTTTCCTTACTGGTACGTTTTGCAATGGAAATACAAAGTCTTAGGTAATGACAAAAATTGTCAATAAGAAAATAAAATGTTACGTTACTTACACAATAAGTGCCTACCTCGCTCTCGATCCCGCCTTTCACAAATCCTTCTCGATTGAGAGATAGTAAAACTGATTTCATCACGTTAACAATGGGAACGAAAGTGTAATAATTGTAGGTTCCGGTGTATACTCTGATTGTAGGATAGGACACTAAAGGAATTACTTGTGCATTCCGGTGGGTTGCACGATTATGCAATATTACGTTGGAATGGTATAGGAGTATATTAGACGTAAAAAAACTTTAACGGCATTAATATAACTATAAAATTAGAATCGCCCAATCAATTAAAGTATATTATTTCATGCCTATGTATGCAAATCCGTCTATCAACTCTGCCCCACTGTGAGCTGTCACCTAGCGTATTTTTGACAAGATCTTAGTCTATCTAAGAGATTGGCCTCCGACGCCAAAGCTCTCCATTTAATTTTTACCTGTTTTTTGCAGCCTCTTACTAATTTAATGTTTAGAGCTGATATATTTTTTGGGGAATTCGTCGTATCAGTGATTTCTTGCTAACCAAACGGTCGCTAGTTTTATACTTCGTCTTCTAACATACTCTACTGCTCGATCCAATCCTATTTCCTTACATGTCCTAGCCATCGAAGTCTTAAAGATAACTTTTGTCCATGATATAGGGCTCGCAAGCCAGTTCAGTTCCTTATTTTTCCTCACTATCAAGCTCTCAATATCTTCTCTTGTAGGTTACAGAATTTTTCGAAAGATTTCTCTTTACGCAACTAACATTAATTTTCTAGTTAGTGACCAAGCATCACAAATTTTTTGAGCACCAATATTTTATTCAGGACAGCTGCTTGATGTTTTGACTTTGTAATCGCAGCGTTAAACGATTCATGAACCCCTTTCGTCTTGAGGGTGTCGCGGGAAGGTGATTATGGGAATTGCAAGAACATTTTTATGACTTTCGATAGATGGCGGTACACCATCTAGTAGCCAGGCGTAAATTACACAGACAAGAAACAGCAGCTTTATAGTTCTGGAACGATATTTTCATGTGAACTTACCTACTCCAAACTACAATACAAATACCAATCCTTCCAAAACCTTCTTTATGACATGTTTGAGAACGAGATCAAAAAACCTTAGTGACGCAGCGTAAGCCTGTATTATTTAAGTTACCAAGTTAAATTCTTTCGTTATATTTCTTCATTTTCGGTTACTCGTTTTACAAACGTAAGTGACTCATTATGCAGAATTTAATCATACCAATGTATTTTAGGGAGTCTGACAAGAAAGAGCAACTTTTCTTCTCACTTTAAACTGCAAACTTAACTGTACTAATGAGTGCTCTCGTACGTCTTTAAAAGTTACCTATGATAGATTTCGGTAAGAATTCTAGTGGGCCTAAAAAAACTCAGGACAATACTTTGTATGCCGTCCTTCTTCTTCAAATTCAATTAATTTCTTTAATTTTATGTTGACCTTTGATTTTGTATACCTACTGTATAGTTCTACTCGTCCTATTTTCTATCACATTTCCATAATTTTGTCAAAGGTACTTGTTCTTTAGTCTACAGCTTTTTGTCTTCCTTAAAGCTTGGTCATTACAGTGTCCCTGTGCCCCCCGCAGGAGTTTTCTGAATTGATGAAATCTTTTTAAATGCAAATAGAGGAAAGATGTCATAATGAATCATGTATTTTAATCATAATTGAGTCTGAAAATTGGAGTTTTGTAGTTATTTCCGTATTGCTTAACAAATATATGTATATATTTTTTTTATTTAGAATTGAACCTGTGTTGGTGAATTAAGTTCCTAGTTGGCTCCCTTTTGAAGAGTCAATATTAATTTAAATATTAATTTAAGTAGGGGTATATTGGTTGATGACTTAGCAAGAAAACACTAAATTATGTAATCAAATCAAATATTTTTTATTAATAATATACCTATACCTAATATTTTCTATAAAAAAAATACAGCCTCTTATGACCCTTAATTACCTAATAGGTTCAAATAAAATTATCATAATAAAATAGTAACACAACATAAACATAATGAGGAACGTTCCGTTCAATGAAATACTGTTTTAAATACTCATCTAAAATCAAATTTGACTTAATTAAGTATGACATTTCTCTATTATCAACAAAAAAGCTAAACTATGCCTTTAAATACTAATAATGGCTCTTTGAGATCATCATTAACAACAACAATTTTGATTTTTTACTATTTATCAGAAAAATTTTTTTTGGTGTATATATTCTTAGTAGGTAGTTAAGAATGCAAACACTTTAATAAGAATAAAGCAGTCAATTATCAGTACCACCCAAAACATATTTATGATAAACATCATAATAGGATTTCGGAATGACATTCTTATCAATCAATTCTTTTATGTCTTTTTTTGCATCAGACAATGCAATTTTTTCAGTGTATGCATGTGTTAAACCAATTGAAAATAACGATTGGTCTATAGCTATGGCCGATCCGGATCCTCATACGCGAAGAATCTTCTTTCGCACACAAACTTTCTTAAACGTTTCCTCTGTAAATGATGTTTTATAGAAAAACACTTCAGGGTGATCTTTTTCAACCCTAAGAACCTTTAAGTCATGCCACTTCACTTGATTTCTCTCTTCGTCTGTATTGAAATTTGTGCCCCACTTTTCTTGCAAAGCTTTAACATCATAAAAATTGTCATGCGTCATTTCTACGACTGTGTAAGGTTTTCCAGTCTTTTTTGCTGTACCAATCAACGTTTTATATTGCTCTGGTATATAGATTGTACCCGACTGCAAGTATCTTTTAATTTGTTTCTCAATGACACTATGGACGTTGTCACCTTCATTTTATGAGTGCCCACGTATGAAAAACTTGTGAGTAATAGACTTGACTCTTAACTTGTTGACAGCGTAGGCATAGGCAGACAACAGAAACTTATTTTTTTGTTGACCGCCACAATTGTCCGAGTAGAAAATTATTTCAATTTCTTTATTAGGATTTTGGTCTACCTGAGCTTTAACGTAGTCGAGTATGCAGATGCCAATTTCAATAGGTCCTCTCTTTCCTTCGGTTTCATCCCAAAAGTAGCACATAACTTCTTTTGCCCTTAAAACGCTGATGGTAAAATTCAAACAGTTGATCCTGGATTTATAAAAAAATAGTGATATTTGTCCCTTTGGAATCTGCAAAACTGCCTGCAAGTCATAAACTGCTACGATAGTACCATCGGCCCTACTTTTATCATTATCTTTCTCAGTTCTTGCCAAAACTTTTTCATTCTGATGCTGTTCATACTCTTGGGCTTAAGTTGCGTTTTTCTTCTGAGTCTGAATTCTTATACCTTTCGCACAGATCGCATTGATCTTTTTTTGGTACGAAAAAAGAAATGTTGAATTCAGTGTTGAATATCCTGTTGAATGTGGAAGACGTGGCAATAGCTAAACCATCCTTTTCACGAAGTTGTTTGTAATCTCTGTAGATATCCGCCAATGATTTCTCACTTGAAATATGCTGTCTTTTCGTTTGAGCTCTCAAGTAGTGAGACTCATCCTTGGAATAGAATTTATAAAATCAATAACGCTCTGTTTGATTTGTGGATCAATAGTTGGTTGATGCCCGTGTTTTCCTCTCAAATCTCCTTGTATGACTTCTGATTCGGAGACCTTGGAAAGTGCCGTTTGTATCGCTTTATAACTCAACCCGAGAGTCGATTTGAAAAACGGTTTGCAAACTTTAATTTTGGATCCAGCAACCTCAAAATAAAACGCAGTGTTAAGAGCTTTGTTAAGATGCTTAGGTTTTATTTTTTGTGAGTGTCGCACTATAAATTCTCTCTGCCTTTCAAGATTGCTGAATCCCCAAAATGCATCAAAAAGCTGTTGCCTTGATATTTCATTGATTCTTATCTTTACATTTTAGCTGACATTTTTCTCCACAGGGGAGGCCGACTTTTCTCTCTGGCACTTGTAATTTTGATTTTGACATAGACTGGTAGGCTTTACCAGAATTTCTCAGCACTTTCGCAACTTTCGATTTCCACATAGTTGGTTTTCGTACCCTCTTTTTACTCTTTTTTCTTCTATAACGAGCTCTTGGGAATTAATTTCAGCTACCATAGTATTCTGCGGGTCAAGCTGTTAATGCGCACTATCATCTCCGGTGTCTGACGAGCTATTAGAACGTGATGAGCTCTTAGAGTTACTACTACTGGTGCTGGACGAAGACAGCAATGAACCAAAAGGAACGATCTTAGATAGTGTCTTACTTTTATTAATCAATTGGAAATTGGGATCCTCACCTGAGTCATCAAAGTCACTTTGGTCACTTTGGATCGGTGAAATATAATAATTTGGTGTACTAGTCTGCTGTTGTATAGATGTGCTCGGAATAGATTTATCATCCACGGATAAGGCTGCATGAGTTTCGTTAGATGAATCTTCATCACTTAATGACATCTCGCGGTCATCTTCTAGCTGTGACCTGTTCACTACTACCGTCTCCTTTTGTATTATTGGTTCACACTCCTGTCTAGTATCTGGTTGGGTTAGTAAGCCAGGGCTGATGTTTTCTTTGTCCCTTTCTTCAACCATGTTTACTAAAAACTGTCCACGATTCATTATTTTTCTGAAATAGAAAAAAAAAAACAAATAAACCATCTTAACAGCTCTAACTTAAAAACCGTTCACAACAAACTTTGTAGTTACTAGGATAAAAATAAAATATTATTAAGATGAGCAGACTCCAATCGCCACTGGCAAAAAAGTTCAATTTCATTTGTTTTCTAAAGAAATATACGAGTTTAAAAAATGACTCAACAAAACAGGTTTAACTACACATTCAAAAAATTTATAACAACATGGTAACAATTCAAAATAAAAACAAAAACATTGCCTACCTTACTATCAACACTGGTTCAACTCAAAATGTAGCTTTTATTTACTCAGCACTAACCATAAAAACAGCGACAACTCAAAATAATGTTAAGTCAAAACCTTTGTTAAACTCAAGAACACTGAATCAACTCAAAATAACTCCGATTTGTTTACAACGTGCACGTGCGTTCCGCATAAAATACTGGTTACAACTAGCGATGTCCCCGTTTTAGTGGGGGAAAGCGTGGCTCGCTCGTTCAACAAAATGGGCTTTTAACATCATCTAGCGTTGATTAATGGAACTATTTTTGAATCTGTTTTATTGGGTGCTCGGTAGTGAGTTATTTAATTCGATGGAATACGTAACTCAAAAAATGAGATTTTTGAATTAGCTCTCTTTAGATCTAGGTGTGCGAGTTGATACCATTATAGGTCTTTGCTTGATACATATTTTTAAGTGTTCTTAGTTTTTGGTAGAATTTGCGAGTTGTATTGATTCTAAGTATCTCATTTTCATTGATATAGTTTGCTCTCATAACATTTTTATATTTTTTCTTATTTCCATCGCGTTGCTGCATTTACGTTTCAATTCCACTGTTTACGTTTGCTTTTTCAGGGATTTATCTTGTTGAAGGTTTTAGATACTTATTTCCCCACATCATTATAATTCCGTGAATGTTTTGCTTACCTAATTCTAACTCAATGTCTCACGTATCATGTTTTCTTTTATTGAAAGAATGCACTAATTTTTTTAATACTTAGAGTATTCTTCTTGCTTACATTTAAATTGAAATAAATAAAATGTGTGTTAAAACAGTTTTCACAACTTTTTTTACATCTTGAATAATAAATATTGCTAGAGTTAGAGCAATAAATTCGCAATATTTTTTATTTTTAATAATTACTCTATTATATTATGATAAAACCAATTCATAAGTAACGTCAAATAAATATTAAGTTCAGTGAAAGCAAAGTTCTGAGGCAAAGTTAATAAAAAAAAGTGACCAAATCCAAAGGAATCTCATTGGGATTAGGCAAAAATTGGGCTTTGCAGTGTATTAAAGACATTTAATATGCATATTTTTCAAATCATGAGCGAACACGTGATAGAGCGCTGCAAAAGTAGTATAGTTTACACAAGCCGAACCCAAAAAAAACCAAAAAAAAATTGGGAAAAAAAGAAGGACAACCAGGAAACACATTTTATTAGTGTATATACTTATATTCAAAAAAATCTGTATTAGTATTTGTAAATTGACATTTGTATTATGTCTGTAAAAAGTAAAATTACAGTCTACGTAGGACACTCAATAAATTTTGACATATACAAAAAGTATTCTAGATACTTACTATTAATATTTATTTTATATCTTTTCAAAATATTCTCCATTCGCCTAAACAAACTCTGAAAACACTTTTGCCAGTCTTGATCTGACAGCTCGGAAATCACTTCTTCGTAGGAAGTCACGGCTTCTTCGGCGCTTGAAAAAACTTGGCTTTTATTTTTTCTTTGACTCTTGGGAACAAAAAGAAATCACAAACACAAGGTGGGTGACTTAGAGTTTCAACACCAGATTCCTCAATAAATGCTTTTGTTCTAAGGGAGGTGTGTGAAGAGGCGTTATCGTGATGCAGCATGATTCCCCGAAGCCCGGTCTTTGGTCTTCTCTCCCACACAGCTTGAAAAGCTTTGGGTAATGCAACTATAGTATGCCATTCAGAGTTGACTGACCTACAATTTTCCAGCATTGACGTCGACAAATGTCCGCTCCGCGAAAAAAAAAACTAGCCACCTTTTTTTTGCCGACGTTGCGCGGTCTTTGCAGTTTTGTCGGTAACTTCTTGTAGACTCATACCGATGATTGCTTTTTATTTTCCGGATCATATTGATAGATCCTCGTCTCGTCACCAGTAACGATTTCTGAAACACGCTTAGATGCCCCGTTTTCAAAACGTAGACGCATTTCATGGCAACAATCCACAAGAGTCTGTTTTTCGCTTTCGGAGAGCAAACGAGGGATCCATCGATAACAAAGCTTCCTCACTCCAAGATGTTGATGTAGGATGGTATGAATGCATCCCGAATTAACGCCTACAATCTTTTCGATGTCCGTATACGTGGGTCTTCTCGCACCAACATTTCAGTAGTTCATACATTTTCTGCCGTTATTGCTATTTGCGGGGCCTCGGTTCTTTGGTCACTTTTTAAGGTTAATTTTACCCCTTTTGAATTCAGCAAACCACCTAAAAATTGTTGCGCGTGATGGAACTGAGTCCCTTAATACTGATTGTAATTTGTAACGCGCAAATGTTCATGGATAAGATCCATCGTTTTAAATGAAAAGCGCGGGAAACGGTGCAGGAAAATTAATAGAACTTTTTTTTTTTAATATTGAGAAAATGGCTTATGGAGTTCTATTTTAAAATAAATTTGCTTTTTAGAAACATATAACACGGGTGCATTCAATTTTTAAATTTCTAGCATCTCAAAACTTATTGAGTGACCTACATACGTCCAATTGCTGGGCACAGGCCACTACTCATGTCTGAAAGAGTAATGGGGCAATTTTGTTCCGTCGAACTACTCTAGTGCGTGATGACGAAATTGTCATGTCCTGGGTGGACTCAGACATGCAGGTTTCCATACGATGTTCTTCACTGCCGTTTATTAGGACTTAAAGGGTATGTAATTCGCTGGTTGAACACCTATATTCAACAAGTAGTCACAATAATTTCTCTCTTTAAAATGTGGTTATAGCATATATTATTAATTATTATAGTAGTATTGGTAGTATATTGATGGTTCAATTTCTGTCATCAATTGTTGGTGGATGTTTTGGACCGCTAGACTAGGGAGCGACGTGTTGCTAAGCGGCGCCGACGGCGGCGATGGCGGCGGTGCGGTGGCGGGCTGGCGGGTGGACACGTCGTGTCGGCGGCGCCGGGCCGCGCACGTCTCGCCTCCGCACCCCGCGCCCGTGCTCACGTTGCCGAAGCTGCCGGACCAGACCGGAGCCCCGCTCAGTCCGCTCCGTGACTTTGATGCGAGCGTTGGTGTGTAGTATATTTCAATACTTGTATAACGAGAGCCCGACCGCTGCAAACCGACCATTTGTTACGTTCGACAACCCCGCCCCGTGCATTTTCCGAGTTGCATCGCGATTTGTGCAAGTAGTGCGTCAACAGTGAGCGATTCATAACCGATTCGGTGGCTCCTCCCGCGTTTATTTATGTTGTCGTTTTGGTGTGGTGAATATTTGTGCCGTACAAACGATAACCGGATTATCTGTGCCGTTGGAGTTAGAGGATATTTTTAACAATCGACAGCTTTTCCACAAAGGTGAGTTGAAAAGTATAGTATAGACTACATACGTTTAGTGAAATTCTCGATTCGGCGAATTATGCTTGTATGCACGGGACGTCTGGCCGCCGCGACGTGGCGGTTGTCTCGTCGATACGTTCTGGAACGCAGTAAAAGAATATTGTGTCCCGATCGCGATCGCTTGCGAAATTTTCCACTGGTAACGAACATTTATATCACGTTTGTTTTTTTATTGAAGCACGTCAATATTTGTTTGTGTTCTTTTCACTTTTGTTTCGATTTATGTTTCTTTTCGCTTGTCTGCTCCATCAATTTTGTAATGAGTTGTGTTTGACATAACTGGCTACATTCTTACTAGATTTTGTCCTATTCCTCTGTTTCATAAAGTGGTCGGAAACGAGTGGATAAGAAAACATAACGAGAACGCACGTCGGCGCGGGGCGGTGCGCGGCCGGTCGAGCGACCGCATTCCACATGGAATGCCGGACTGTACGCAATGTCAGTACGACCCGAGTTCGTCGCCGCTACTCTGTACCGACCATTGCAAATTTGCAACAATGTCCGTTCGGAATAATTCCCCTAAGATCTCTGCTCACACCTGAAGTGTTTGCATTTGTATTATTAAGTCGATTGTAGGCGTTGATCGACACGACGGCGCAAGTCCTCTATCCAATATAATACAGTAATCTATGCCTATCCGTCCACGCATTTGTGTGTTCAGTAGGTACCTACTTAATCACCAGTAATTTTCTCCCTTTTGCGTGTTATTAAAGACTAATGAATGATAAGCTGCACAGATTGAGTAAGAACACCATATCTACCTAATTTATGAGATTCTACTAACTATCAACTACCTATCAATATTTATTTCGATAATGTTGCTACTTGGTAGGTAGGTACGCTGGTATTATTTCCCATGATCTCGTGATGAAATGATGTAAGAGAAAGGGGCATGCAATCATGATTTCATAGTAACGTCTACAAATTGAAGTTTTTTTAACTGATTTCGAGCATGCCGGTAACTTCCAGATACCTCTATCGTCAGTTACTAACCATGCAGAAAATAGTGCCACGTGTTTACATGCAAACAATTCGCTCTTCAAAAACTAGTTGTGTCCGACGTAAGGTAAGTAAATTGTTGCGATAATACTGGAAATGGGTTAGACATTGTTAGATACATGGCAGCAACCGTTCAGAAACAAAATCCAGCAACGAAGGCAATAAAGTTTGCACAAATGTTGCCTCTAGAATTCAACCCTTGGACTCGTGACTAGAGACGGGATTTTTGATGCGTGATCCCGGCATTCCGGGGTTGTTCCAGGATTAGACTATATGGTTTCTAATAGTATAAATTAAATATAAATATTTTTAATATCGTTGCATAGCACAAATCACAAGATAGTAAGAAAATAAAATACGCGAA